AGATTATCTTAAAATGAATATTTACAATTCCAGGTTATATAATTATATAATAGAGTATGAATATCACACAACACAGTGGGCCTTACATGTGTCTACGAGGACAAAGATGTAGGAAAATCAATGCAGCCAATGGGCAGAAATGTAGTCCATTACGTATGAGAAATTGACCTCATCGGCTCCCGCTAAATTATTAGGGGGACTTTAATTTCGTGTGAAAGTGTATGAGAAGATTCGTTGAGCGATTTCACCAGATGAGGACGGATGGATCTGGTTACACTGCAGCCGTTTGACTTTTATACAATATTCATGTTGACGCAGTCCACGAGATTTCCTCCCTCGTTTCTTGGCCTAGTTTTAACGTGAAACTTAAGGAAATGACACCCAGCTCTGATGTCCATCATATGATGGACAAAAGCTCAACCCGTTTTCACCCGAAACGAGGGAGAAAATCTCGTGAACTGCGTCAAAATGAACATCGTATAAAAGCCAAACGGCTGCAGTACAACCAGATTCATCCTTCCTCATCTGGCGAGATCGACAAACGAATCTCTTCTTCATGCACCTTCATACGAAGAGTCCCCCCAATAATGCTATCATAGGAGATTCATCAAAACCCAGCTTATCTTCGTATCCCGCTAAATTGCCAATGGTGTAGGCATACCCCAGGGCGGAGTCAATAGAAGCTGTCATTTCTGATAAATACTAAGACAACAACAACAACAACCAAATTCAGAATTGGGAGAAATTGAATGATATAATAGAGCCTCCCAATTCATAGTAGGTACCCAGATATTAGAACGGTCAGCATCATAGGACCTGATCAATAGTTTTTATATAAAACATTTTCATCGGTGCGAACGTGCGCAAAATAGCTTAGCTAATTTAAGAAGATTTCGAAAAAAATAATCAAAGCGAATATAATAGAGGAAGTCTTAGGATTGACGAATTTAGACAAATATCATGAAAAAAGGGACTGCACGCTTTAAAGTGTGTATTGTATATAGTAATATTTATTTTTCTATCAAAGTACCACGTATCCTTCGCTTCCTGGCTTCTTCTGCCTATAAAAAATAGTTGATAATTATTTAGCACATATAACTGGTATAATATTCGAAATAATCTGTTATTTCCTCTCTGCATGAATCAAGGTTAGAAATTAAATATGCAGACTATCGGTAACATTTAATGCGGTTTGACCTCGTTTTCGCAACTTTATCACATTGTCAGAGGCCTAGATAAACGCATCCAGTCCGGATTCCTCTGCCATAGTAATTATGAGAATTCCCAGCATCGGACCATGGAGTTGGTACACTCAGATGTTTCGCTATCATCGTCAGTAAGCCTTACCATTATCGGCACCAAACAACGAATTGTTAAATAGCTCAAATGGGCACATCGTTAAAGTGGATTTAAATAAGCCACTTTTGATGAATTGTAGTATGCTGCTAATGATGGCGAGGTTTAGCAATGATGCCGGCGAAACTTCTTAGAAGTCCACGGTCCGAAACTAGGGATACTATAACAGAGGACTCCGGGCAAGGTGCGGTTATCTAAGCCTCTCTTACAATAAGATCAAAATATGAAAGCGAGGTCAAACAAAATGCATAAAAGTAACGGAAATCGAAATTCGGCCAAAACCCTATCACCACCTCTTAAATTTATCTATTAGTAAAATTACTGAGGGATTAAAAGAGCACAAATAAAACCCATTTTCTCTATAAATTAAGGCAAAATCCAATGATTAATGAAAATACCTCATCAAATATCCGTCTCTTTATAACGCCGCGACGAATCATTTCTTGTTCGATAACTCGCGCATTAGCAGCATATGAATCTGCAATTTCTCTGGCCTCTGCAGCCTCTTCCTCATCTTCGAATGTTGTGACGGTTACTGATGTGTCCACACCATCCTGTGTACTTTGATTTTGGACCCAAAGCTGAGCTTTAGGTGCTCCAGCTTCTTTGTATTGTCGTTGACCGGTTTGGAGCTTTCCCTGAGAAGACGCAGCCGCAGCAGCCTGGGAAGCGAGGGCTTCAAGAAGACGAGTATTAACATTACCGCCATCGTCTGAAGGCCTAGCTGACTCCTTGACTGATGTAAGCACGCTGGAATTAATGCCAGATTTATCGTCTTGCAGTCTTAGTGCTCCTTGTACAACAAATTCAGCCTATAAGAAAACTGGTAAATGCAATTACACGCATATTGGTTCAATAGTAGGACTCTACGCTTTTAAACTGATCGCCAACCTAATAAATTGCAAAAATCTTCCAATTTAGTATGATAAGCCTCCACTTAAAAATAAATGTAGCGATTTCAGAGACAGTTACTTTTCTTATTTAGTAGTCCCGAAGCTAATCGCGTAATCCAAGCTCATTTAGCCGATAATTCCAGTAAGTTGTTCGATTGCAGATCCTCAAGTATCTGCATGAGAACGAGTTTAAAAATGGTGCAACCATACTAAAGTCGATAGTAGTTAATCCAGCTGCGAAAATCCTTGTCGGTTCGTTTGTTTATAATTTCTTACTATCAAGATATAAGCAAAGTCCAGGATTACTTGTGATTTCCAATTACATATAATCCTACTCGTGTAAGGACGGAAGGACGTTTGTACAAGATAGTCAGAAAGCATTAACACGATTATATCTCTCACTCAATTAGACAATTCAGAAGCGTTATATTTAAGATCTAAAAGCCCCGGAACCAACTATATGAAATTAATAAATTCGGAAAGTGAATAGGACAAGTATATGGGAAGCCTGAGAGTCCGAAAATATAGATGGCTTAAAAAAATAAAAACACAATATGTAGAAATACCGGGAAATTAGTCGCTTTGTGTCGGTAGAATAATACAAGGCCACAATTTTTACAGTATCGGCGGAACTGCTTCTCTATGCCATCATCCCATCTAACATAAACATTAGATGTGGGATCAACGCTCGTTGCGTTTATCTTATGAGCATGCTTGACTCCATCGATGACAAAGGAACCATCCCTGGGACGCTGAGGGAGCTTTTCTATAGGGCAATCGAGAATAAGAGACATTTGTCCACAAAGACAGCAATAAACGAAAAGGGGCTTTTCGCTTCCATAATTGTGTCTGTCCTTGTTGTCTGTGACGACATGGGTACTACGCCTGGAGACCTTGGGTCTCTGGTCCTTATTCATTATGCGCCCACTAAGGATAGGAAAAATTAAGAATACATTGATTGTGTTTGAACGTGTATTTTAAACATATTAAAAATTGCTATAAATTTAAGCAATAAATATTTTATTATAGTAGTTATGCATTTTAAAAGCAATGTACATTAAAATAACTATCATAACTTTTTTGAGCAACAATATTTTGTTTATCTGCTTAACAGTCTCTAACTAACTCCGTTTCCAGAAGCGTGCGTCTCGACAACTATGGTTCGTTTATCCATCACTAGCTTGTTTCCTACATTCCACCTTTCTCAATCTCATTACCGCATAACTTTGTTCTTTTGTTTCGTACTGGATGTCTCTAGTCTGTCGAGACCGTTTATCTAATCTTTGATCTTCCTTCTAGCTGTCCTTACAACCGATCCAGATACTTAAAGAAGGTGCAGATGAAGAAAAGGCTGAAACAGCCCGTCTAGTACGTTGGTTTATATCATATTCCGTAGTCCTCTTTCGTCGGAGCCATAGCTATAGGAGATTTGATAAAAAGCACTCTTGGGCCCAAAGGCATGGACAAGATACTTTTCTCTATGGGCGATACAAACGAGGTTACAAATGATGGTGCAACCATACTAAAGTCAATAGGAGTAGATAATCCAGCTGCTAAAGTCCTTGTCGGTTCGTTTGTTTATAATTTCTTATTATCTAGATATAAGCAAAGTCCAGGATGACGAAGTTGGCGATGGAACGACTTCTGTGGCTGTATTTGCTGCCGAGTTGCTTAAAGTATTTGATGAATTTTATTCTATTTAGCAGGAAGCTGAATATTTGGTTGGATCTAAAATGCATCCTCAAACTATAGTTACGGGCTGGCGACAAGCCAGTCAAGTCGCCCTTGCTAAACTTAGTGACATCGCGAATACGCATGATCCTGGAAGCGGTGAGCTATATTTGGACAAAGCTTTCCGTGAAAAATTGGTTAATATTGCCAAAACTACACTGAGTTCCAAATTGGTCACTCAGCATAAAGAGCATTTTGCCAACTTGGCTGTTGACGCCGTGTTACGCCTAAAGGGCAAGGGTACTTTGGAAGCTATTCAGGTAAGTAGGTTAACTTTGCGAGACCCTTAGATAATCCCAAAACTTGGTGGCACTATGGATGAATCCTACCTGGATGAAGGATTTCTACTTGATAAAAAGATCGGGGTAAACCAACCAAAAAGGATCGAAAAGGCCCGAATACTTATTGCCAATACTGCTATGGATGCGGATAAGATCAAAATATTTGGGAGTAAAATTCGTGTCGATGCTATTTCCAAAATTGCAGAGTTGGAATTAGCCGAAAAAAATAAAATGAAAGATAAGGTGCAAAAAATTCTCAAACATGGCTGTAACGTTTTTATCAATAGGCAAGTCATTGAATTTCTTATATATGCGTTTTAACTTAATCCATTTACCGTAATAAATTATCGTATAGACAGCTCATATACAACTACCCGGAGCAGCTGTTTGCAGACGCTAAAGTGATGGCTATTGAACACGCCGACTTTGATGGCGTTGAGAGATTGGCTCTTGTAACTGGTGGAGAGATTGTTTCTACGTTTGACTCTCCAGACAGCGTCAAACTCGGACATTGTGATCTGATTGAAGAGGTTAGCTTTTATTCTGATATCGTCTCCAGTATGGGGCTTCATCTGTATTCTTGTATTAGGATTTAATGTTATTTAGCCTAAATATTCTACGTTTTGCATTATATTAGGATGTACTTTTCTCAGCTCAAGCTTACTTGTGATTCATAGCCAGCTTGCATAATCTAATGGGATATATTCTACTTTTAAAGATAACTATAGGCGAAGACAGTCTTCTTAGATTTGCGGGCGTTGCCCTTGGCGAGGCCTGCACCATTGTTCTTCGTGGGGCCACAAAAACGATTCTATCCGAAGCCGAACGTTCCCTTCACGATGCCTTATGTGTTCTCTCGGAAACGGTAAGGGATCCACGTCTTGTCTATGGAGGTGGGGCGACGGAAATTTCGATGTCGGAAGCCGTTTTAAAAGCTGCCACCAAGGTTGCTGGTAAGGTCGCTGTTGCCATGGAGGCCTTTGCGCGAGCATTGCGACGGCTTCCTACGATAATTGCAGAGAATGGCGGATATGACAGTGCCGAGCTTATAGCACAACTTAGAGCGGCTCATGTTCAAGGAAACCATAATATGGGACTTGGTAAACAATTAATTTCAATTACTTGTATTTTTGAGTATTTTTTATTAAGGAAATTACTTTTTCAGATATGGAGAACGGTTGCATTGCTGACATGAGCGTCTTGGGAATTTTGGAATCATACCGCGTTAAGAAACAAATCGTCCAATCGGCTTCAGAAGCTGCAGAAATGATCTTGCGGATTGATGACATTATCAAAGCTGCCCCGCGCAAGCGATCCGGCCGGTACTAGCTTGATGGTGTAATTAACGGTTAATTTTTTATTAAAACGAAGTTCGTAAAAAAGAATTCTTTATTCAGTTTGTTAGGATTCTACTTTTTGGTCTCGCTCGACCAGTATGCTCTGTCACATAAGGGAAATGGTGGTATTTTAACATCCAAAGTGCCCCCGGTCGCCTTTTCAAAGCGGAACGAACCCCACATGTGTGCCCATGGTACAGGAGTTTGGACGTGGCTGTGATACTGGAACATTGGACTCTCGGGCGTCAACGACGGCTGCTAAAATTGAAAATAAGTTGGTATTGAATGAAACACGCGGTCGGCGTTTAATTAGCTTATAGCTTACCATTCCGACGACTCCCTTTCCCTTAACCGATTCCAGGCTCCCTGTTATAGAAAATACTTTCCAGAATCTCTCCCTTAGCTGCATTCGTTCACCGCTCATATTTTCCATTCGAATGAGATACCTCCACTAAGGCGAATTATTGTACGTTTATTGTTGGATAATGCATGGATATGCGAATATGGGACTTACGTATCGGATGTGCTTTTCGTTGTGGTCCTGAAATAATTTTAAAAGACTAATTCGGTTAGACGAACATTCATCTTCTAAAATTATTTACCCAGGCCCTGCTCAAAAAAACACCCCCCTAAGCGTCTAAGCGGCACTTTGAAGGTGTTAATTATTACCTCAAATATTCGCCTGCCCATAAAGAAGGGGACAGCTGTAGTCCTAATGTTCTCGGTGGTTTCACGGTGGATTGAAGTTATTTCCAGGCTATTCTTTCGGGCCTCAATCCATCGTCCTAGGTGATCTGTTGGTACAAATGGAGGGTCTATGTTGTGAGATTCTAAGGAAAGGTTACCTCGTTCAGGGTCTGGG